TTAAAATACTATTTTAGGTCATTTGGTGTGTCTGCACATAAGGCTTTCTTGCTATAATAAAAGAACATCAAGTGTGGTATATTCTAATATTCCACAATTTATGAGTTAAATGGAGCTGTCACTTACCATTCTCGTCTTCTGTTTTCTCTGTACAAAGCAACAAAACACACAAAAACAATGCTATGTTAGAAAGGGTCCTTGGCTCCTATTCTCAGATAATCTACCTCAGCCAGTGGCATGAAGTGCAGGTCAATAGGAGATCAGTGAACATAAAGGAATGATCATGAACCCTGAAGTTCTGTTAAGTTCAGATGTTGTAAGACAGGTTAGCCCTGGACCAGGAAATTTAAAAGAGCTCAAGTCTCCTTGGTATTCTTCTTGCTGTTCTGAAAAATAAAGAACAAAGGAAAGCAAACACAGCACATGCTGCAGAGAAGGCCACTCTTCCTACAGCTGAGGGCTGTGCACCAGGCATCCTGAGCAGGGTGCTCACTGGGACTCACATGAAGAGGAGAGGGGTCCCACCTTCCACAGGTGCAGAGCTGCATGCAGTGGAAGTCCAGTGTCCACACAGCTCAGGGCCTGGAGGACACTCAGACCCCTCCCTTAGCTAGAAAGGGCTAGCATCATGGGGGAGCAGAGTGCACGTGGAAATGACCACAAAAGGGCATCTCCTGGGAAAGAGAACAAGTAGCAAGTGCAAAGTCCTGGAGGCACTGGCTCACTAGACAAACACCCCCTGGAAGAACAAGGTTGCGTGACATCAAAAACCAAGCAAAACAAAGGCAAGTGCAAAGAAAAAAAAAGTCCCCGAATACAGAGAAACTGTCAAAGTTATGCATGTCTTAGTGTCTTAGTACAAGACATGTTCTTAGTACAAGTCAACATGTTCTGCCAAAAAACAAGAGATCCTTGGAGAAATCAAATGCTGTCTGTGTATGTGGGTTGACAGCTTGTCACAAAATACAACACCAGTTATGATTAAATATCATAAAATAGCAATGAAGAGTTAGAAGAAGTGTGAAAATTAATCAAATTCTGGAGTTAGTTTATAAACAGAAGAAATGGTAGAACAAAAACTCATAAGTATACACAATTATCATTTATTCATGAAAATAAACCAATATAAAAACATTAAAATTAATAAGAACTTTGAAAATAACAACACATTTACAAACCTGATAAAAGTTAGAACAAATGTGTGTCACTGTAACTAATTTAAAATGCAAAAAGTTTGTGTAGTGTATAAATGATTATACTACCAAATATGAATTTTAGCTGATAAGTAATTATATAAAGACTAGTTTAGAATATTGATAGTTTATCCTATGGAAATCAATCATGAATATAGTTTTCAGTAGATCAAATATACTTTTCTATGACATTTTTCGCCAAAATGAAAGCAAACACCACTCACCTCTTTGTTTTTTCAACAACTCTATAAAACAAAAACAAAAACAAAAAATGATAAATAATATGCAAAAATAAATGCATACCTTTCAAAATCAGTCAGGAGAAATTACCCAGGAAGCTTTTCTGCCTAATATCTTCCAAGGTGTCTCAGTAAAGTACTAGCCAGTCGTCACAGATGGGGATGAGGGCTCACCCGGGAGATAGGTGCTGGGGTTGATCCCAGTGTCCCTAAAGCCCACGTGTAGAGCCTTTGTTGCCAGCCTGGCGCAATGTGGCATGTGGTGGTGGGTCCTTAAGAGGTGGGCCCAGTGAAGTCCTCAGGCCCCCTGGTGTGCCCCAATGGGGAGTGTGGGACAGGCACATGGCCACCAGGTGGGCAGTCTTGCCATGAGGTGCTGCTTTGCCACAGGCCAACACAAAGGCAGCTGCCCAAGTGTGGACTGACCCCTCCCAGTCTGTGGACCTGAAGCATCCTTTTCTGCTGGTAAGGTGACTACCTCGGGAGTCTGAGGAACATGTCAGAGATCTGTTGTGGGCTGAGCCTGGTGGTCACCAGTGACTCTAGAGTAGCTGGACTAGTCCACGGCAGCAGTACCACTCCACCTGGTCTAAGTCTGAGTAAGTCCCACTTGGTAATTGTGCAGAGCTCATCAGGGAGCAGAGTTCAGCCTGGCTCTCTGCAGGGTGTGTGCAGTGGAGACATGGACAGGGCCAGGGCTCGTAGGCTGAGGCAGGGGTCTAAAGAGACCAGCCTTCCCCGCCTGCTGCAAGAAGAAACCCTAGGCTTTGCAGAGTCGTTCCTGAACACTTTTCATGGATCAGTCTGATGACAACACAAACATCAGCCCCACAAGGTTGAGGGTCCAGCTGGGCCAGAAAGAAACCTGCAAAGCCCAGGGAGAGGGAGGCACTGCCAGCGCATCTGCACCGGCTCTCCCCCCTGTTGCTGGGAAGGTGGCCACAGGCCCAGGAGCAGAGCAACACACCACAGGCCAGCTTTAGTGGAGCTCTGGGTGGCAGCCAAGGCTCAGCTCCAAATCTTATTTTTAGTTTTCATTTTTTGGTACTGAGGATTGAACTCAGGGATGCTTCATCATTGAGCCATTTCTCCAGCATTCTTTATTTTTTATTTCGAGACAGGGACTCACTAAATTGCTTAGAGTCTCTCTAAGTTGTGAGGCTGGCCTCAAAACTGCAAAACTGCCTCAGCCTCCCCATTCACTGGGATTACAGGCATGTGCCACCACACCTGGCTGTGTTCTGAATTTTAAATGATGCACCATGTTCCTTTCCTGTATTTTTATGAGTTTACTGCAGCATTTGGCACTTTGATTACACACACTTCTCTGTGTAATCAAAATTTGGTATATTGTGGAGATAATGATCCAACAACATTCAGGAAAAGTGGCATCTACTAGTTAAACAAGAGAAACTCTGTGCATGTATGAAAAAGTAACAACAATCCCCATTATTATGTATCACTGTGATGCACCAATAAAAAAGAAAAAAAAAGAGACTCAGAATCTTTTCCTTTCCTCTCTCCTTCAAAATTGCCTGATCTTTTATATAATTATCAATCTTTGCATGAGAGAAAACACATGAATGACTTCTCATATTGTTGCTGGAGTTCACTTTCAAACCCCAAAGTAGACATTAAAAGATTAAATGTCCAAAACTTCTTTGGTTCATTGCCCCACAGCAGTGTAGACTATGATTAAAATGAACTGAAAATTACCTATTTGACATGTGAGAGCCAAGAGATTTAAGGCAGGGTCACTGGCAGAGAAATAGGAGGCCAATTCTTCCAAACTGTGAGTCCACACTGTGATTCAGAGGTCAGAGGCAGGGACCCCCCCAAAAAAAAGCCCCTCCAACAGTGTGAGCAGTGCTGCATCCTGAGGGAGCCCAATGTGACTTGTTGGATGTGTGGGGGTGATTGTGAGTCACCTATACTGCAGTAGCCTGGGGACACCTTGGAAGGCATAGACCCTCTTCCACCATCTCCCACTGAATACTAATCCTCAGATGCATGATCAAGACCTCTCCAGGCACTCAGCCTCCTGAGGGACCCTGCAGGGTGCCCTGCACTGTGGCCCTGTCACTACATTGAGTACAAGGCTCTCTGCCTAGCAGCTGGACCCACTCACCGTGCTGCTCCTTGAGCAAACCTGCAACAGACACAAACAGACCCATCAGTGAGACTTGTTTGCACTAAATCTTCTGAGTGGATGGCGGTTGATCATATTAGATTGGCTAATTTATATTATATTAATTGGACAAATTTTCTAAATGATTAGTCCATTTTTTTCTGTTGTTCTATGCACTTCCAGTCTTGGCTTTGTATATTCCCATTTTTACTGTCTCCTAAACATTATTTCCTAAACCCAAATATGCCTTGACACAAGGAAAGTTCCCATATAAACAACAAACAAACAGACAAAAAGCCCTGTTTTCACAAAGTTTCCTGTGACCCATGGACAGAGGAGGCTGCCTGGTAATTCTGGGGCGTCTGGGATGCTGACAACCCCCCCCAGACAGCAGCAAGCACCTTCTCAGGAGGGCGCCTCTTCCCTCCCTGGCTTTGCTCACTTGGATTAGCGCCCTGGCCCTTCCTAAATCCTGCTGGCAAGGGAGTCACCCTCAACAAGCAGGACACACAAACACTAATCCAGCCAACTGAGAAAAGGACTAGACAGAATCACAGACCATCCCTCCAGGAGCCGTTGGAAATGGCTGGCTTCAGCTGTGCTCCAAGTAACTCCCAAGACACATTCAGAAGTTAGAGGCAGCAGAGCAGGAGACCCTAGTGAGTGGCCCTGCTTGGAGAGTATATACCCTGGAGAGAGGTGGTGCCTCAGGCAGGCCAGGCCCTGGGTGACAGTGGTTACTGGTAGTCTTGGTGCTCATGGTCAACTGCAGTCTTCTATGAGTCCCCAGGACACACAGAAAGCAGTAGCAGGGCCCTCCCATTGCCATTTCAGGAGGGTATATGACTGTGATAAGCCAGGGTTTCCATCCCAGGACATGCACAGAGCATTTCATCATCCCTGGGCACACTGATGAATAACTCAATAAATAAACTGGTCTCCAAATCAACCAATTTAAGGGTAGATCACAAAAGTTCTAAGAATATATGCTGTTTTTATGAAAGAGCTGATCTTGACCCCCAAACTTCATGTTCTAGTAACTATGTGAGGCGATAAGGTGAAGATGGACTAACTTCCTTTTTACGGCGTTTCTTGCCAGTTCTCAGTGATATAGGGGACCCACAGTCCACTCCTGACTTGTGGTGACGAGTGCCCTCTGCTTCCCAGGAACCTGAGCCACCCCTCCCCATGCACTTCCCTGTTACTTTTGGCTCTTCTGGCCCGCATCAGCAGAGCACAGGTGACCACCAGGCTGACTTCCAGGAAGACCAGGAACACACACAGCCCCATCGTCCAGGACCAGTCCTTGGGAAACAAGGCACCTGAAACACACAATCATCAGACTGGAGTCCAGTTGGAGAGCGGGGGACCTGGCTGTGGGGTGACTCTCCAGGAGCTTTCTCCAGACAGGAGGAGCTCAGAGACTCTGAGCACCCGGGCCCTCTGCTCCACTCCAGGGAGTCAGGAATCCTGAAGGTGCTCCTCCTTCACAGCATGGGGCAGAGACCAGAGGTCATGTAAGGGACTTATGAAGATGTTGAGACATGTCCAACATGTTATGATAAATCAACACAGGGTATCATCTAGATTTAATAGTGCTTACAATTATATTTGTGACATATAATTATTTTATAATAAAATGTTACTAATAGAACACAGTTTTCTCCTTCCAGGTGGATCTTCTTTCTCCTTCCTCTCAAGCCCTGATGTGGCCAAGTCCTCTTTACCTGGTTGTTTTCACACATGTATGCACATGAGTGAGCCCAACAACATGTTGCTGAGGGGTAGGGGGAGCTCCTCTGAGGGCAAATGAGGAAGTTTGATCCTTTCAGAGGGGTAAATCCAATGGGTCGCATGAACCAAGTCCCAGAGACAAAACCCTTACATGCCCAGCAATCCTTCTGAGAGGAATGACCACTGGTCCTTTAAATAAGCAGCCCTGGCCGAGCCATCCACACCTGTCTGTGCAATAACCTTCCCTGAAAAGAGGTCCCGAAGACCTCCTCACTCAGGGATTGCACTCATGTAAGGGACTTATGGATCTAATCAATCTGGATCTAATCAATCAATGACTTTTAGTTATTATCAATGATTTTAAGTTCCATATAGAAGCATTTTTACTATTATCTGAAGACACTTTTTAAATTTTCATTTTCCATTTTATTTTGAAGAGAGTTCTAGTATGGTGACCTGAGCGTTGGTGAGTTTGCCTCTGTCACTTCCCACTCACAGTGAGCTACCTCAGCTGCTTTCTTCACTATGAAACTCTAACTGGGAGACTTGGTTGATTTTTCCTTCTCTAATTTTGCTTTACTGAAATTGCAATAAAAAAAAAAACAGAAAATACAACTCTACTGCTCTGATATATGCTTTTGTCACATTCTCCTTTTGAACCTGGAATTTTCTTCCATTATGTCAAACAAATGTGGGTGCTTAAACTGAAGCACCCGAGGAAGGGCATTTTAGTTGATGGGATTCTTAGGAGCCTTCATCAGTGAACAGGCAGTGCCACACCTGAGCTGAGCCCTTGGGAAGTGATGGGGACAGGAGAATTAAGACACAAGTCCCCCTGGGTGCCATACCACCTCAGCTAGTGGGATGCAGTCCACCATGGTGTAAGAGTCAACAGGGGGACCGCAGTGCACAGGGGCTGGAGTGGATTCCTGGAAGACAGGTCCCTGGGCTGGGACTTGAAGGACCAGTGGGGAAGCTTGGTGAAGGCTCCCAGAGGACAGGAGTGTGGGGTACCCTGTGGTTGGGATGGGATAGAGAAAGGAAGGAAGTGCAGAGTTGAAACAGAGGTCATGAGAAGGCAGACTAGAAGAAGAGCCTGTGGACCTGAGTCACTGTCACGCCCTGACTGGGCAGAGGGACAGAGAGCCACAGGAGAGTAGTCGGGGACCAACTCTTGTGGAATGCCCACTCTGGATCTGTGCTGCCCAGGTGAGTTCCATCAGTCACTCCTCAGCCTTCTCATGGCATGCACACCATCGGGAGCCCTATTTCTCCTTTGGGAACTGGCAGGGAAGGTCAGTACTCACCCAAGATCCCAGAGATGGTGGATGGCACTGCCAGGATTCACACTAATTAGTTGGTGGCAGAACAAAATGTTGAAGTGATTTTCTCCTGGGCAATAGTTAAAAAACATCTTGAGGAGAATCTGGGAGATTCTCTCCCATGTTGCATGGGCTTTGAAGGCTTTTGCATATCCGTAAATTCATTTTCATAAGTAAAATCATTTCTTTGCCAATAAATGGGAGCTGAGGATGAGCTGTTTTTACTAAGATTCCTCACATGGAAGTCACAGAGGAATGGACCAGAACCTGGCCCAGGTGACTGCCCAGGTCTTTGCCCATCACACCTGATCAGCTGCAAGGACAGTGTGGTCTGTGGAGGGAACTCACCTGCCAGGGACACATATGCTTCCTTCTGCTCGCCGAGGAGCGGGTTCCTTACAACACAGGACAAGTTTCCTGTTGACCTCTCGTCCACTGTGATGGATGCCTGCACCTGAAATGTGCCAGTCTCTTCCGTTTTCACTGTCTCATAGGCTTGTGTGAAGTGCAGTCCCTGCCTGCCCTTCCACTGCACCTGGGGCTCAGGGTACCACCCCGTGGACGTGCAGGTCAGCCTGATGCCCCAGGCTGCGTCAGGTTCCACGTGAACATGAGGAGCCATGCCGGTGCCTGGAGAGGGAAGGAGGCAGAGAGAGCACACTGTTCCAGAAATGTCCCCCTGTTTCACACGGACCAGTGAAACTTCGATTGCTCATTAACCTCTGTGAACCTCAACTCTGTGTTTTGTTTGTGTGTTTTGTTTTTGTAACAATGGGGTAAAGTCACACAAAGGGTTTGGATGAGGAACAGATTAAGACCGAAATTTGGCCTTTACTAGAGTACTCCAATTCCTACCTACCAGGTCCCTTCCTGCTGTGTTTCTTTCCCTTGTTCCCCTTTGAGAACTACATGTAGTTAGTAAAACCCATTAGTCCATTTTCAGCCAGTGGACACACATGAGCTGGTGGCTTCAGATGTCAGTTGCAAGTTGTCCACACAATTTCTACCACCCTTCTCCTATACAACTACCTCAGATGGAACTTCGTATGGCCTTGGGCCAATATGCCTTGAAAGATGTCTATGCACCCCCCTGATTAGTAGCTACCCCCCTGAACTGCATCCATGGATACACCTGCTCAGAGGGGGGCTGCCTGCCTCAGTGCCTTTGCTATTGGGAGTGTCCTAGAGGCTGGCCAGAGTGTTGTGCCTGGACATGATCTGTGTGTCTTGGTCATCACATTGCCATAGGAACTGGCTCATCCTTCCCTCACTGTCTCTCTCTTCAAGGACAGGGGTACAGGAGCAGCAGTGACTCATCTCCCAATGTGAAGATGAAGGCTGCACTGGGGGAAGGCTGAGGATCAGGAGTAAAGGAAGGTGGACACACACAGTGAGCCCCACTCCTCCTGCCTTTGTCCCTCCTCCCAGGATTTGGTATGACAAGCAGCTGTCACTTGTGCATAGTGTTTTGCAGCTTAGTGTATACTAACACTAACTTATCCAAACCATCACAGTGTATAACAAAAACTAAAGTAAATTTACTGGTATTAAACAATAACTTTTGTGGGCTGAATCATGTTCCTCAGAGGATATGTTCAATTCCCAAACCCAATGTCTGTGAAGATTGCTGTGAGTGGAAATAGTGTTGTTTTAGATGTAATTCCTAAAAATGAGCCCACATAGGTCTTATTGGACAGGTGGGACATTCACACAGAGCCAAGATGGCATGGTGAGATGGAAGCAGATCTCAGAATGGAGTGGTCACAGTGCAGGAAGTGTCTGGAAGTTGGAAGGCACAGGCCTCTCTGCTGGATTACAGGAGGATGACACCTTGAGTTTGGATGTCTTCACCCTGGAAATGTTTTCAGAATATGTGTGCACAAAAGTATCTAGTTAGGAGAAAATTTAGCAGAAAAATCTGTTTTCAAATGGTCAGTAATTTTTTCTCCTAGTCTTCTTTAATTTGGGAAGAATCAATAAGTACCCACTTTTCACTGTGCAAGCGTGAGTTCAAGGGTGTTCATGGCCTGTCCAAAACTGTCACTGAATATAGGGCAAGGACATGGCCTGTCAAGGCACACTGCAGGAAGAGATCTCCTCCTCTGAAAGGTCATCCTCTTGGGCTCCCTGTAACAGACTGGGTAGTCCTCTCTGAAGGCCAATTGTGAGGATGGCAATGGAGAAACTCATTGCCTGAGACTGTCACAAGGTCCCATGACAAGAGCAGAGGCAAAGCTGTTCAAGCTCAGTGTGAGCCTGAAGCCTGGAACCCTCCACACCTGCTCACCCTGGCAGAACTGGCAGTGCTGTGGGCACAGTGTCTGGGCAGAGCTGGTATCTGAGTGCAGGGATCCAAGCAGACAAGAGTGTCATAGGAAGATGGACACAACCATGTTGGACTGGGCAAGAGCAGTTCCTGATGATCGGTGCATCTGATCTTTCCTGTCTCCTTCCATCTCCTTCTGGATTTTAGAAATTCTAGAGTGATATGTTAGACTGAGATGTGCTTCTGGGACTCCTTGGAAATATAATGGCTGGGATGCAGCTAAATGACAGAAAATGTGCCCAGCATGATTGAGAGCCTGGGTTCAATCCCTAGAAGGAAGGAAAGAAAAAAGAAAGAGAAGAAAGGAAAGGAGAGAGAGAGAGAGAAGAAAAAGAAGAAAAAGGAAGAGGAGGAGGAGGAGGAGGAGGAAGAGGAGGAGGAGGGGAGGAGGAGGAAGGAAGGGGAATGAAAGAATGAGATATACTAGATTCTCTCCTTTCTCCTCTTCTTAATTATGTTGACAAAGAAATGGGTTGCGACTATATTTCTCTTACAGCCTGAGACCATTGGAATAGACTGGTCAGATGTTTTCTTCCTCTCTAACACTCTTGAAATTCTGTCATAGGATTTGCCTAGACTAAACCTCCACTGTCCACTAAACCCAGTATTTATCCAAACAAAGTATTGGCAGAACAAAAAACAGAGTTAACGTTCTACAGAATATAAAGAGTTTTCATTCCAGAGAAGTTCACCTGTGACCAACACTTTGAAATGTGCTTCATTGTGGTAGGTGGAGCTTAAAAAGAAACATCTGTAGTCCCCTTCATCTGCAGGGTGAATGTTGAGGATCCTCAGGGCCACCTGCCCCCTGGTGATGTTCTCCCTCAGGATCTCTGCCATCCCTTGGTTCTCTGGGTGCTGCTGGTCCTTGTCATGGGAATTCCTATAGTTATGTACCAGGCCTGATTTGTTTGTATGGCGCCATGTCACCTCCATGTTCTGAGCATCCATAGAAGGGCTGAGGTGACAGGAAAACATGGCCTCTTCTCCCACCATGACAGTGATGGGTGAGCTTGGTCCAATCACGAGGAACTGCCCTGAAAGTGATCAAGAAAAATGATAGAGCCTTTGCATACAGTGTGGCACATAGCCTGAAGCTAATTTGATAGAACATTTTTAGTGCACCTGTATTTTGATTAAAATCCATCCAATGAGTTCAGGCAGGGAATTTAACACTTGGATAATCACATGAGCTGAAGAAATTTACACCTATAGCATCAGTTGCAGTGCTTGTTAAAATTTGAATCTCCAATGGTACCCAAAATCTCACGTATTAAAGACTTGGTCCCAAGATGGTGGTGCTATAGGGAGGTAACAGAAACTATAGGAGCTGGCACCTAGTTGAAGGGAGTGGTTCTATCCTGTCTTCAGCCTCTTGCTATCACTCTGCTTTCTTGCTGCCATTAATTGAGTAGCAATTAATGCCCTCTCTGCTGTGGGTCTCTGCCTCACCACCAGCCCATTCAATGGAACTGGCTGATCATGAACTGAAACCTCTGAAACTATGAGTCAAAAAAAAATCTTCCTTCTCATAAGTTGATTTTCTCAGGCATCTTATAACAGCAAATAAATTAAAAAATGAACTAACTCAGAAAATAAGTACTGAGAAGGGGGGTTATTGCTGTGACTATACCTGAACAGATAGTCCAAAATCCTTTGAAATTGGTTGTTGGAAGAAGGTTGGAAAAGGTTGAAAGTTTCTATAGAAGTCCTATAATGTTGAAAGAGGAACTTAATGAAGGACTCTTCTGATAGGGACTTGGAAGATTGAAATGCCAAAAGGCATATGGACAATAAAGACTTCATTCATTAGGCTTTTTTTATGTACATATCTATGTTTATTTTTTAATTGACTTTATTTTTTAAATACATGATTCCAGAATGCATTTAAATTCTTATTACACACATAGAGAACATTTTTTTCATATCTCTGTTTGTATATAAAGTATGTTCATACCAATTCATGTCTGGGAATGAGCACGATGTGGGGAACTGGATTAGCAGTCACATCTGTTACATTCTAGAAAATAACCTGTCTAAATTTTACCTATGCTCAGAGACTATGTGTGAGGTTGAGTTTAAATATGATGGATTTATTGATCCAGGAGAGAGAATTTACAACTCACAGCACTAAGGCAATGACAGTGTATTGTTGGCAGCTTTTAGTCAGGTTCAATTCTGGGAGTCAAAAGCAGAGCAGAAAGATTTGAAAAACTTTCAATTTGGGCAGAAAGGAAACATGTTTAAGTTTGTGGTCAAGGAGGATGTGATTGCTGAAGATATCAGAGTCTATAAAAAAAAATATATAAGTGCTTCTCATTGGGACACTTGGAAAGATGTCTCCAGGGTATCAAGAATTGTACAGACAACACACAACACAAACTCAATGATGTCAAAGAACAAACTCACTTGAAAGACTGCTTTGAGAAAAGAGGTAGGAATACCCTGTTCCAAAAGGACCTTCTAGGAAACTGCTTTCCCCAGGATTCATGTCAGCATGCTCAACTAACTAGGGATTCAGAAGTCACTGCAGCCATAGTCCCAGTGGGTCCAGCTAATGCTTGAGCTGGCAGCAGTTCTTGGCATCATTTATGGGGTGCTGGTTCTGGAGGAATGGAGAATGCAAGAACTATGGGATCATGGGGGTTTCCACTGAGATTTAAAAGGGAGACCCATAAGCCAGGCTTGGTGGGACAGTCTCAGCTTCCCTGAGGGTTAATGTGTTAACTGATGAGAATAAGGAGGGACGCCAAAGCTGTTATGTTGACCACAGGAAGTTGGAGATGCCGGGAATTTGGGATGTTAGTCAAGAAAAGCAGCAGGCAATAAAAGGAGCCAGCCCAATACAGTGATCATGTGGGATACAACTAGCAAGGTCACACAGCTTGCCAAGCCCTTTGGACTCCACACACTGCCCCCATGTGCCCTGGATGCCAAACATGGAACTAAAGGATTCTGGATTTTGATCTTGCTTTCGTCTGATCCCTTCTTTCTCTTGCCCATGTGAAAACCACATAGCTAACAAACCATGCCTAAAAATCTCCTACAAACGAAAATGAAAGAAAGATGATAAACATAGTGAAAGCATGTGAAATATAAAAATCCCTAGACAGTTAAGTACACAGAAGAGAACTAGAACAAAGATCCAACCTCAACAAAATAAAACCCCATTGAAACAGTAAAGTTACCAATACAGTAAAACCTCAAATCCCAGAGATGAATGAGAAGGAAAAACAAAGAATATTTGCAAAAGAAGAAGAAGAAGAAGAAGAAGAAGAAGAAGAAGAAGAAGAAGAAGAAGAAGAAGAGGAGGAGGAGGAGGAGGAGGAGGAGGAGGAGGAGGAGGAGGAGGAAGAAGATTTTAAAAGTGCAGGCATAAGACATTATTTTTAAAAACTAACCTTGAGTTTAAGTAGACTAAATGCTCCAACTAAAAGATAATGATTGGCTGAATGGCTATAAAAACAAGACCAACATTTGCTGCCTATGAGAAACTCACTTTAAAAATGAATATGCACAGAAAGTGAAAGACTGGAAAAAATCTAAAATATCAATTTTTTATTATTTATAAGTTATAATCATCTTTTTTATAAATTATATTATTTTATCCTTCTGGAAATTGGAGGTCAAGTATTTTGCAGAAATTGATGGCTGTCAACTAGATATTTTGCATGTTGTGTGAACATAAGTCAAAGATAAAATAGAAAAGAAAAAGTACCTCCCCCAATAGAATTAAAGACAGAAACTTGAGAATAGCCCTAAGATCTTTAGTTGTAGAAAACATGAAATAACTGAGGCCTGGAATTGTAGTATGGAATAAAATGTCCTCTCAACAAGTCTCCAGTGTAAAGGAAAGCAGTCTTCTTCCTTCTCACTCACCTGCACCTGGCCAGGGAAGAAGGAGGGAGAGCAAGCATGTCCAGCTGCCCACACAGAAGAACTGCATCCTAGCTGGAAGGTTCCAGTGCCTGTGGGACTGTCACAGAGCACAGTCCTGAGATACAGTACCTACATCCCTCTCCATAAACAATTGCTAAACAGAAAACCAACTTACAACATCACTGAATACTGGAAATGAAAGTAAAGTGTCATGCAAGTGGACTTTGATCAAGTTGAGTTATTCTTTTGCATGTTAAAGGACCAAATAAGGAAAGAGAAGAGATACACAGAAGTCATTATGATATGGTAAAACCCCTCCCAGCACCAAGGAAACGGACTCTTTTTTCCAGACTTTTTTTTTTTTCTGTTTTTGATTGGTTTGCTTGTGGAGACATTTTTTATTGGTACATTATAATAATACACAATGTTGGGATTCACTGTGACATGTTTGAACATACACATATTATGATTTGCTTCATTTCTTTCCCCAGTACCACCCTTTACCCTCCCTTCTTCCCTCTCCCTAATTGCCTTCCTCTAGTCTACTGGTATCTCTTCTATTTCTATGAGATCCTTTTTGTTTTGTTTTGTTTTACATTTTCCTCTAGAGCTTCCATAGGAGAGAGAACACACACTTTGACTCTCTGAGGCTGAATTATTTCACTGAATATACTATTCTCCAATCCTATTTAATACCTTTGCACTAAAAAAAGATTTCCTTTTCAGACAAAATATGGTTCACAGACTTCTACATTGCTGCCCTAATCCTAATGTGTACTCAAAGTTAAATAATCTGATTTTTGTCCTTTGACGGGTTCCTTTAGAAATTCTTTATAGCTGTATTATTAAGAGAAATTGCAAAGATAACATTACATTTATGAGTGATGCATATGTTTGCTTGTGTTTTATTTAAGAATTATAAGAATACCTTTGGTCTTCAGGAGATAATAAAAGATGGACAATCTGAGATAGTTTTCTCAAAACCTCTCATGATGGACCTTATTCTTCTTGTTCTCTAACTATGTAAATACAGAAGATGAACAGATATGTGCACAGAAATTTTGTGATGTCACATAGAGGTAAGGGTGTACCTCTAGTTAAAAGCAAGCTAAAATGGATCCAAATATTAAAAAAAAAACACATGGCTTCATAAGGTTTACATAATTATAAGCTATGCCTTTATTCTTAATGAATATTTTCTCAGTTATTTGAATAATCTATAGTCCTTAATTCACAGAATATTTAACATATATATGTGTTTATTTAATTAATATATATGTATTTGCTTCTTATAATTTTCTTTCAACAGAAAACACATAATTTATATTCCTTATACATGCATTTATCAGATGCTCTGCTTTTTATAGTTACAGATATTTGAGAAATGTATTTCACTATAAAAATTTTTCCTTTCAAGAGATAATACAACCATCAAGTAATCTCTAATTCTCAAATTATTGTACAAACTTTTATAAGATAATAAACAAATATAATTTTGTCTACAGAAATATCCATATTTCAATATATTTTCATTGAGATATTTTTTCATATCAAGGTACAATAATTTGTTTAGATTCTAAGACTTAT